TTTTCTGTTGTCTGTGGGATAGTAAAGAAAAAGGTGATGAAGAGAAAAAGAAAAAGAATACAGATGAATTTGACTAGATTAAAAAAATATTCTTTCAAAAAAAATAATCTTTCAAAAATTTTGAAACTACCAGCATCTCACGTTTTGTGTGCATGTGTAGACATGGCAACATCAACAAAGCCCAATCTGATGAAATCCTAACATGAAACGTATCTAATTTGTCATACTATTTTTCTAATACTGTTTAATAATGAAATGTCTACTCAAATATGTGTATCCACTTGATATATATATCAAGCAACAAAGCTAAAAAGGTATGACATTTGATTGCAAGTTAGGCCATTAAATTTTAAATTAATTTTCTTATTAGTAGCCCAAGTTAGCCCAGCTTTTTTAAAAGTAGCAAGCAAGCAGTGAAATTCCAAATTTATTAGCACTGTTTTTAACAGGAACCCAACAATCTGGCTATGCTGGTTTCACATGCTATTATACACCATTGTATTTGTTATTATTTTGTTTAATTCTAAGCCAAATGATTTTTTTTTAGCACAAATATAAGCATGTCCTCAACAAGGATAAGTCACTGTTTGCTGATAGAATGAGACACCATATAAGCCTCTCATAAGTTTGGTTCTCATGTTAATTGGTGGCTCTGTAAGAGTGTGGTAAATCCCTTCTCACTTTAATCAGTTTGAAGTATTGTCATCTACTGTTGATAAAGCAAAGTATTTTGCCTATAATTTCTCTTCCAACTCCACTCTCAACTCATCATTGCCTGATTTTTCTCCTAGAACTGAATCTCTACAGAATGATATGCATATAACCTGTCCATGGTTTCTGCTATCATATCCAAATTAGATCCCCACAAGGCATGTGAATTTGACAGTATACCCACAATTGCCCTAAGGAACTGTTCCCCTGAACTGGCTTCCATTCTAACAAAATGTTTTACTGTTTCTCACTTTCCAACTTGTTGGAAATCCTCTTCTGTATGTCCTGTCTTTAAGAAGACTGAACATTCTGATCCCTTGAATTATTGTTCTATTTTGGGGGGTCAAAATATTAGAGGTTCTTATCAACTCTGGATTGTTTAAGCCCCTCACTTTACAGCCTTGTTTCAGATAAACAATATGTCTTTTGCTTCTCTAGGTCAACTGCTGATATGTTAACATTTATTACTGAAGTTGTCTATCAAACTTTAGATAAGAACAACTAATTTTCAATAACTCCACTTAACACTAAGAAATTATTATCTTTTTATGGATGTCAGATTTTGATAAATTTTATTTTGATGCACTTTCCTATCAGTTTCCAGTTTTACTTTGTCTGACTTGCTATTAAAACAAAAGTAAATAATATTGAAAGGATTATTGTCTTAATCTTGTTTGTTATAGTCACATTTCACCCCTTCTACTCTCTGATCTTCTCCAAGTGTTTGTTGTAGCTAATATATTTCTGGGAATTTCAAACTGACCCCTTTATTCATTTCATGGAGACAGATTGTTCTTATTCAACTGTCTATATGCAGTCAATGTTTTCTATTTGTCTTTGTGATGTTTTACAGAACAAGAGTGTATGATTTTTTTTTCAACCCATAGATTGAACTCCTGGCTACTAGGTAAATTTAACCAATGCTTTTTATCTATTAAGCCTTGTCTTGTAGGACAATTTAGTGATGAAAACTTGGAACTTTAAACCTAATTTTTAATCATATTCTTAATTAACTACTCCCATATCATATTCATTTCTATACTTGGCTACAGAGCCTATGGATTTATGCTGATTCTTTGAATTCACTTACTATTCTGACTTCACTGCACAAGACATTAGCACATGTAAATCAGTATATTATTTCTCTAAAATTCAGTAAATTGCTTTTCTTTTTCTGCATTTTTAATTTTACTATATTAATTGTGCATCCATAGTTTGGAACAGCTTATTTGCTGACACCTGTACATTTACTGCTTTAAGTCAGCAGCATTTTAAAAATAAATTAAAATATGAGCCAGAAGTGCATTAAATGTTAACATTTTATGCCAATTATTTCCTGTGATTTTCTGATGAGCAACTGGTATTTATTTGCATTTTATGAATATATTTGTTGTCTCTTTCAGCCAATTCTCTGGCCACCTTCAGGTGATATTTTTATTGTCTTATGCCATGTTTGCTAGCCAGTTATGCTTAAAATCTACTCTTTAGTCAACATTATGACTTTTTGCTTGCTTGCAAAATCTTGGATGACAGTTGTCAATCATTAGGAGATATGCACTTTCTCTAGCCTTGTGTCAAACAGGTTTTACATTAGAAAAATAATGCAAAAAATTTATCTTAAAAAGTCATGAACATTTGTTTCCTTTCTTAATTCCTAAATGTTTGACATTGCTATCAGTTCTTCTCTTATTTAAGTTTTACAGACAAATTTTTTTCATCTTGTGGTTTCAACTTTAATTATGTTCATTTTAGAAATCATCAAATGTACTTCTGTTTTGTTTCAGGAGCAATGAATTGACTACATTTTCTGCAAATATTATATTTTTTTGGACAGGGTACCACATTAAAATAAATTACATTAAAAAAAAAATGAACTCAAAATACAAGGGGGTGTTGAAAAGTTTTAAGTCCTACCAAAAAGGTATTCTAATAAATTCTTACATTTATTTGGTCAGATTTGGGGAAGTGGATCAGGCTGAGTACTTTTCAGAAACTCACTTGTACTTTAAAATCCTTGACATATAAAATAAAAATCAATTTAAAGTTTTAAAATTCAATTTGAAAAAAATAAGACATTAAAACACTACTACTTCACCTGTCATTGATAATCTAATACTTCTTCTTGAGAAACATTTCATCTTTTAATCATCGTTTTTTTTACTCATCTTTTCAATTCAAACTTCTCCATTTCAAATTTTAGGTTTATATAAATTTTATGCGAGCAAATCTTTCAAGGTCAACACAAAAAATAGGCAGTTGTCTGCACTCATAACTGAGCTTACTTAATGAAAAACATTCTGAAGATTTAAAAAAAAAAAAAAAATTTATGAAAAGCATTTCATAAATAGAAAAATTTCTAAAAATTGTCTTCAGAAAAAATATTTCAAAAAACTTTTATATAACAAAAATTTAAATGTATTTTTATATATATATTTTATAAATAAAACCTCCATTTTGATATTGTATTTTGTGTGTATATGTCATGCACAAAAAAAAAATTGAGCCTGCTTGGCATGCAACATAGAGAACTTTGTGTAGCCTCTGCAACTTTGTTAATATTCTTAAGAAAAAATTTGGTTTATACAAAGTAAAAGATAATAAAGGCTCAAATATACTATCTTACCAGTTTTGATAGTTAAAGTAGTCACATTTTAGAATCCATTCCAATATTTTAAGGGAAAATTATTAAAGACAAGCACATTTTGTTTGCATGTTTGTTTTTATTCTTTATTATTTTTTAATATTTTTTTTTATTTAAACAAAGACAAGATACAACTGGTAAATAATATTTATTTATATGTATACATCAATTTAAAAATAAAATAAAAACTGTTAATTTCATGAACAAATCACACAAACCCAAACGCCTTTCACACAAATTCCATTTTTTTTTTTTTTACAAGTTTTTTGGCATTAAGGAAATGAAGCAAATTAGTATTTTGTTGGAATTTAGTCATATATTTTGTGGTGATCAGAGCCCAAATGTTACCATATAGTAAAGAGGTTAAATCATATTTTGTGTTATGGCCTCTTATGGCTTTCAACAAGTTAAGAAACGACAACAAAAACAGCACCCATTGGAAGGAACTGCTTGAGAGTTGTTTTCAAATCAAAAAGATCTTAATAACAATATTTTAAAATATTTAAACTAAAGCTTCATTTTTTATTTTTATCATTAAAGATTTAGATGAATCCACAAGGATTACAACTTGATAAATAATAATATATACATTATAATGTCCTAAGAATATTTTTTATAAAATCTACTTTTTCATAAAGAACTTTACAGAATGATAATATTTGAACAATGATCATCCTTTTTTCCACTAAATTAAAAATAATTGTTTTAAATTATTTAAAAATGGTTAGAGAGATTTACTAATTCATAGAATTAAAAAGGATGGAGGCTTTTTCATGTTTTTGCCTTTTTATAATCATGCCTCATGTTTTAGATACTTAATCAAAGAACCTGAAGAGTTTCCTTGGACAGAAAAAAAAATTAAAAAAAGATTATACATTTCAGAAATTCTAAGATTTTTCATCATTCTATTCTGGAGACATTTTCAAGTGGTTTTTACAGTAATTTTTTTATTTTTACTTCTATAATTCCAAAGTTTTCTGGAAAATTCCTCATCAAATTTTATTTTTGATATTTGCTTATTCAAGATATATATTTATTAAAACCAATTTAAAGTGACTTCCTGATTCAAATATGTATATTACTCCCCAAACAAGAAAAATCTTAATATTGTTAAAAGTTTTTAAAAATATATATTCAAAAAGGGTGCTCTGAAAATATTTTTTTAAATGATGAATATTTGAGAGCATTAATAGACTTGTTGATATTGAAAAGACCCAGCACCATTTATGTTTTTGTCATGTGACCATCTTGCAATAACAAATACTATGAAAAAACTACTTTCTGTGTAATTTTTAACATTACATCAGAATGGAGTCTTTGTCTTTATAAACTAGAAAAATTTTTTTTTTTAAATCACACTTTCACTATTTTATAATCGTTATTCTGTACCAAATGAACTTGTAGATTCTCAACCCTTGGTTATTTCTTCAAGCCAAGTGGCATAACGCAAGATGGACAGGAATTCATTTTATCCTTTAGTATCATGGGGGGGAAAAAAGGAGGAATTAAAGTTTTCCAAATGGGGAATGCAGGAAAAAAAAAAGTAAACTAGTAGAAATAAATTTCCCTGAAACTATTAATGCTCTTAAAAGTTTGCAAGGCATGGTGGGGAGGAATATAGCTGTGAGAATTACAGTAGGAAGTCATGTCAGAAGTCTTCAAAATCTTCAAAATCACTATTGTCGGACTCTGGTGAACTGTCTCGGGTGAGTCTGTTAATTCTGTTTAGGCTTTCCTGAAGCAGTTTCAGGTGAGAGTCACTGGGAACAGGTGATGGAGAACTTCTCTCATGGCTGGAGTCACGCTGTGATGCAGATTTCAGCTTCACTCCTTTTCTGATCATGTCCAGAATATCATCCATGGGATCTGGAAAAGAATGTTCAAAGTTCTTTATATTGAAAATTCATAATGATATAATGTTAGCAAAATGAAATGATTTTAAATTTATAAATCATTTATAGAGGAAATGAAACTCATATTTTGGTGGTGTTTGCCGATTTTATCAGGTGAAAATTGTCTCACACTGATACACACAAAAACATGCAAATCATTCAAATTTATTTATGTATAAATCAATATACAAAGTAACCATTACTAACCAGCCGTTAATGAGAGGGGAAAAGACATATCTAGGGCAATGTTACCTTAGTCCTCTTCAAAGTATTTCCCTTGTGATTTAACTTATTCCAGCATTCTTTCTTCTTTGCAAATCAGCCTGCAAAGTTCTCTGTATTCTTAATCTTGTCCACAGAATTTTAACAGTAATTTCTAGCTTTGGGAAAAGCCATAAGTTATAGGTAGACACATCTGGACTGTAAGGGGCTGATTGACCTAAGGTTGATGTAATGTTTTGCCAAAACACTATAAAATGTGAACAATCTACTCAATCATTTTTAATGCAAAGGTCGCACAGTACACAAGCTCACTCAATGGCATTTCACTGCTGAACAAGTAACTGCAGAGTTCTATCAGTGCTACACAACTACTACTTATGATATTCTAAATCTGTTCAGAAGAGATTTCATAGATATACCAAGATTATCTGCATAATTACATATATACTTACTTATGTAGAAAGTAATATCACATTTTCATGGTGGAGATGTATGTACATGTAACATATTAATAATAGAATACCTGTTAGCCATTTTCCCATTACCTGTCATAAAATTCTGGGATTTTTTAAATAAAAAGAATAGAGACCTAAATTGACGTCTTGTTTCATGAATATATTAGAACTAAGAAAATATCCTACTGATCAAAACAACTGACGATGAATATTAAGGATAACGTAAAGTATCCAGCCTAAGGAGTTTATTTTTTTAAGTGAGATTCTGTTTTGCACAATTCTGCAGCAAGATGCACTACTGACATGTGGAACTTGCTGACAATAAAAGAGTGTCCTGATGATTTCTCCAGGATTCAGTTATAGCAAAATCTTCAGTGGATAAAGTTTTGGTATTCAGTTGGTCAGAGTTTCTTTTTGCTGAATCTCTCCTTTGACAAAAATCTGCTTTATTTAAGCAGATTTTTGTCAAAGTTCATTATCCAATGTAGCTTGTCATCCAGAATTAGGCTTATTAAAAAGATCAGTTAACTTTTTAGGTTTTATATGCCATCACTAGAACTATTTTTACAACATATATATTCTTCATTGTGATGCATTAATGCCTTTATGAAATACATAAAGCATAGAATGGTGAATATGACTCCCTTTAAAGTCTTCTATGAGCTTAAATATTAAACTGTTAATTGGATGCAAAAATGTTTTCAACTGTGTATTCAATCCCATTTTTCACAAGAGTGCTGAGTCTTTTGCACCTGATATAAATGATGATACCATCTAATAGAATTTATGTTACACTAAATCTTTCATTATTTACTATTTAATCAGCTTTCTTTGGAGTAATCAGATAATTTGAAATGAACATATTTTAAATATTACTTTCTGAGCCTAATATCCACATCATATACTCTCCAACCTGAAAAAACAAAACCAAAGCCAATATGACAATTAGCTGACATGTCCAGACACAAAATTAGAGACAAGAAAGAAAGTTTCAGAATAAAATTGTACACATTTTATTTTAGAAAAACAGAGAGAAACCCAACAGAAATGCAATTTTCTGTCAGGTAATATGGATTATAAATTGTCTACCTTGGACAAAAGGATTATCACTTGCTGGGTTTTTCAGAATCTTCAAAATAACTCAACAAACCAAAAACTGCCATGATAATTTATTATTAAATGTTAGCAAAAGAAGGAAATTATAACGTATGCCTTACCTTGCTTTAATATCATTGGTCTTGGCTTCTGACTGGGTGGTTTTAGTCTTTCCTTTCCACTCAAAATACTCTCAAGGTTCAGTAGGACTTTCTGCTCTCCTGTAGAGTGTTTGTTCAAGTCTTTAGAGGGAGTGCTCACATTTTTCTTAATAAATAGATTCTGTTGTTTTATATCTTTGTTTGAAGGTTGTAGCAACACTGGTGGTATTGGTGGTGGTGGTGGTGGTGGTGGTGGGGGAGGTGGGGGTGGTGGGGGAGGCAGTGGGGGAAGTCTACTGAGAGGAGGTGGATGGGTTGGAGGGACTGACTTTGTAGCAGAAGGAAATTCACATGAGGGCATGGTCACATCACAGATAAATTCAATGGGTGAAGTTGAAGGGCTTGATGAAGTTGAGGTTTCCACTGTAGAACCCTGGATTGGTATCTCCCCACTGGATTCATTCTGTTTGCAAGGTTTAACCTCACCAACTGCCTCAGCCTCAGGTTCAGCACAGGCTCCCTTCTCACTTTGTACAGCAGACTCACTCTCAAAAATTTGGATGCCCAAGTCATCCATTTGCTGTTTTCTCTTTCCATGTCGTTTCCAAGGTTTCTCAGGGGAACATACAGATTTTTGGGATCTTGGCAGTACCAAAGAAGAGTTTGGAGATAAAGGGATAGTCCCGAGCTTCCTTGGGGAAACTGATTTTTGGTGGCTTTTCTCTGAAGTTGGTGATGTAGGGAGACTGGAGAGGCTGTCTTTCTTCTTCACTGATGGAGGCTGATACCTGGTAGGCTTGATAGTTGCTGGGGTCGGGTATTTCTGGAGAAGAAATTAGATTTCATCAAGGAACATTAGATTAAAACAAATTTATATGAGATCTTCCAGTTTCTTATTAACTTGATAGACAGGATACTATAACATTCAGACCATACCTATGTCTGTAGGTTACACTTTCATTGTATTATCTGATAGCTTTTGCACTTGATTCATATCAAGAGTTTGTTTGCCATATACAAAGAGTTACAAGTTCAAATCCTCTTAAACAAATCCTCCTTTATTCAAATTCAGAAAAAAAAAATGTAATATGGTTTTTAGGTCCATTTTTTCACTAATTATGAGACAATTCTCAAATGTAATGTTGCCTATTTATTTCCACAAAAATGCCAACAGATATAGTTAGCACAATAACATTGTTGGATAGAGCTAAATTTCTACTGCAAAATACTATTTGTCCACAGTCACCACTGCTGGCAATGTATTTTTCCCAGCATTGAAAAAGTGCCTGCATGCCCCACTTGTAAAAACATACACCAATGAAGGTAACTGACTTTCACAGCATTGATGCTGAAATGCCTTACCCACTACCTAACTGTACTCACATCCGCTGTACAGTTTCTGTATATATTTATAAAATGTCAGTGAATGCATATGACCACAAGTAATTCCATAATATACTTCTACTCTGTATGAACTTTCATGTCAGATGACATTTTGCCAGAGTGCTACTCAGTAAAAAAAAAAAAAAATGATGGGTGGGAATATTCAAGATCTGCTGCCATACAACCAATATCCCCTCTGATGGCATGATAACATAGAAGGCATTACTTTGTGAGCAAACCTCATAATGAAAATGTTTATAAAGAAAAACTAAGAATTTAACATTAGTAACAATATATGCACAAAATATATTTTATATTATCAAAATATTCCTTGTTCATAATTTCTCTTTATGGAGAGTGAAAGTAAGTTTTAACAGTGAAGCTCTGACCTCAATTCTAAGTTATGTCTTATATCTGATGATGAAAATAAAAAATATATAAATTGACCAGTGTTTAACACAGGTAAAATGTATGATTTTAAATGCTGATTTTCAAGAGAGGCAAACTTGGTGCCAAACAATCTTTCTATCTGAAACTAAATTTAATAAATATCAATAATGTAAATAAATGTCATTTTAGATGTGATAAGATTTCTAATGATGGCAACTATACAAATTATTATGCTTAGCTCAGCTTTATTTGGCACAAGGTCACAAATCTGGGGCACCAAATACAGTAGTAATGTTCTACAAGATTACCTTACTAACCACTTCTCCCTTATTACAGCAGCATTTTATGTAATCTTATAATTCACTTTTGGTGACGTAAAAAAAGTTTGGGATGAGGAGTTATTTACATTATTTACACATGGACTATTGTTATTTGTTGTTGTTATCACAATGTTTCAGCCACTGCAACCACTAGCCTTCATCAGGTGTTTGTTGATCCAGGAAACTTTCAGGGAATTTCAAACTGAACCTTTTATTTAATCTACAAGAGTAAATTGTTATTTATTGCCTGCACTACTCAGCTCAAGGATTGAACTCACCAAATTCATGAACCAACACTTTACTCCACTAGGCTATACCTTAAACCTAATCTGCCTAATTACTGCTCATCAGACTTGACTGCATTCACCAAGGCTTTACTTTTCTGCTTTTACTAGTGCTTAGGATTGGTTTATGAATTTTCTGGCCAGTGTAGACTTAGATTCAATGGAAACAGGGTGAGCAATAACTGAAATAAGAACTAAGTGAGATATCTCTAGACATGTACAGCAGAACAAGACCACTCTACTGCCATAGATTAAATAAATGGTTCAGTTTGAAATTTTCTGAAAGTTACTCAAACTGACTAGTATCACAGGTCACAGTGACTGTCAAATTGTGGTAATAACAGCACAGATGAGGTCAATAATCATCCTTGTGTAAATAATGTAAGCCAAAAAAAGGTTATGTTCTTTGGGAATTATAAAAATATTGGACATCCAAGGTTACATGTCTACTCTTAAAATTCTCAACTTTTGAAAGAATGAATTCCACATGAAAAATTTAAAAAGATTTTTAGGTATGTGCTTCCAATGAATTGTGCCTCTAATTTCTAGCTTTCCAAAATTGTGCCTCTAATTTCTAGCTTTCCAAAAATATTTTGCACACTCCTAATTAAAACTTACACTTAAAATTTTATAAAGAAAAAACAAAACAAAAAATAAACAAACTAAAGCTAGAATATACAAAAAAGCACAAAATACCTTTTGATTCTACTAAAGACTTAAAAAATCTATTTGGAAACTCGTGTTATAGTTTTTAGTCAAGATTTTTGTATCTTATCAGAGCAATGTATATTTGTCCATGTGAAAAAAAAGGAAATACATTTACAAAATGTTCAAATATGCACACAAAAAAACTTTAATCTGCAGAAACAATTTTTAAATTACAAAATCCCAATTATTTTACAATGACAAAAATTAACAAAAACAAAAAATATCACTTGCCATTGAAACATTTTTTGTTATAGACTTAAACTTAGCTTAGTTTGGCACAAGGCCACCACAATGAAGCACCCAATGGGTTTGAAACTTACTCTACATGTTATATGATCTGTGAGTTTGTTAATCTTTGCTCTCTTGCCGGTAGTGACTTCTGTTTTGTTAAAAAAATCGTTTTTGTTATGTCAGAATTATAAAGAAAAAATGATGGCAAACTAGAGGACAAGAAGTCCCATAAAATAATTTGTCTGTGTCACTGAGTGGAGAAAGAGGATTTTTTTGATGCTAGAATTTTTGAGGAGAAGCAGTTGACTCAATAACAATACTTGCTGATAAAATCCATATTTTATTTTCTCATGGCAAACAAAAAAGTGCATCTTTAAGAGCAAGCTCATATCACCATGTCTCTGAATTCTGTCTTTTACTGTATTCTGGGGCCATCACTTTAATAAGATCAATACCATGAGTTAGTTTCAATTGTGGATAGAATTTCTTAGATTTGCTCACTGATGCAAGGTTGCTTTAGTTTATACCTAATTTCCAATATAGTAGATGCCCAAGAAGTGAAAATGACGTTAGAATTTTTGTAATTATTTACACTATTTACATTGTTCAGATTGTTGTCCTTATCTTTGTTGCCATATTCACAATGTTTGGGCCATTGTACGCTTTGGCCTTCAGATGATTGGAATTTCAAACCAATGCTTTTATCCACTGGGCCATGTGTCCTTGACGACAGCAGTGTATGAAGTTTTGGGACTTATAAACTTAGTGTCTCAATCATTTTTTTCCAGAGCTCATATTGCAACTTTTGTTGTTATTAATGCTTTTGCACTTTTTATTACTGGTTCCCATATTGTATTCATTTCTATGCTTGTCCATCTTAGATTTTTGTGGCATTTTTGTTGACGTTCAATGTGTTCCTCCCACGTTTCGGTAGACACTGGTAATTACACCGTAGGTTCAAAGCTAGCGTCCAGCTTCCGGACAAAAATAAACAGAGTCGTAACTTAATACGAAACTGTAACAGTGCACGTCACCACGGTCCCAGCTGCGGTATTTATTGTGAACAAAGTACACAATTATGGCACAAAGCCGAAATGGGGGGGGTGAAGCTGGTTGTCACTAACTATCCTATACCTAGCTAATTTGATTCATGACCCATTCACTCATTACAAATTGTGCATTCACCACAAAAACTCGTCCGTCACCAATCAATCCTGCATACACCATAATACTGCATTCTCTCAAGGGGATCCTACAAAACGTGCCCCATGGTATAAAAATTTAATGATAATACATTATATATAAGAATCTATGATGAATAATGAGAGGGGAGGGGAATGAACCTCAAAACAAACTAAATACAAACACAATATAAACTAAACATAACTGATGTTAGTAGGGCCCGTCCAACCCTCAAAAAGAAGAGGCCGCTGTATTCTGCCCATTGGGCAAAATCAAGAAGCGCTCTCGCTAAGGGAGTGGGGAAGGGATAAGAAATTATACAGACATGGGAAATAAAAAAGCTGACCCAGTCAAGATCAAAAGTGGGCCAAAACAAACTGGGAAGGTTGGGAATCTCGACTTGGATCATAACTTAAAGATGTAGCCGGGAACAGGCTAGGAACAACATTTACTCGCATTAACTAGGTACACAAAAGCTTGTCTAACCTAACCAGCGGGAGGGCTCCACAGGAAACCATCCTGATGTGACATAGGTTGATCTAAAAGAGAAAATCAAACGAACCAAGCTCACCTCAGTCACCCACCTCTCGCTGAAGACTGTCGAAGACAAGTGTTTTCTATCAGTTCTAATCTTCATCTTGAGTTTATGCTCAAAGAATCAGGTCAGATCCTGATGAGAAAGATGAGTGCCCCGCAAGACTTCCTCCTGTCGCATCGTCCAAATCACCATTCGGGCCGTGGCCAGCAGCATCAGAAACACCATCAATTTCACCCTGGAATATGGGGGCGACACATTGTCACACGCGTATGTGCGATCAACGAGCACAAGCTTTTTGGGAGTGAGATGAGCTGTTAGCTCACCGACATGGTCCCATAAGGGGTGAACCCAGGGACAATGGTAGAAGGCGTGCGAAGCCGTTTCCTCTAAACTAAGGCCACACCGTTCACAGTCTGGCAAATCCGCCAAGCCCCATATGAAGGCCTTGTCATTGAGAGGCAGCTGATTCTGAGCCAATTGCCAGGTAAGTGAAAACTCAGGGTTACTGAGGTAATCTGCCACTGGCACCCAACACCAGTAAGAGTGAAACTCATCCTCCGACATGTCGAGCTGCTCGGGTAGGGAATCCTTCGTGACCCCCTCCACTAGAGGACGATAGAAGACCTTTCTAGGCTGAGAAAGGTCACTGGACCGAGGAACAGCCAACAAGGCTGACCAATATTCGCGAAGGAAATCCGATTGATCCCGAGGTTTACAATGGTGCTCAAGCTGCAAGATGGGGGGACTGAAAGTAAGGAAAGGGAACGCATCCCTAACAATCTCCGCCATAACTGAATCTCCTGTCAATGTGTAGTGTAGGAAAGCCAACCTTGAGGCACGTTTGTGGCTCTCCAAGTGTGGCATTCCCAGCCCCTCATGACACGAACATTGTGCACAGACTTGTCTGTCGACCCGATTCCTGCGTCCCCTCCATAAAATGGAGGATAGCAAACACTCGAGCGGCTTTCTATGGTCGTCACATAGAGGAAGTATGAACAATCAATAAAGGACAAAACGTAAGTGGCACACGCTTCTGCCCTGCCCTTCACGGACAACCTCCATCAATGCCAAGTCTGACCGACTGTGTTGACTTTTGCTCGTACTTCAGACCAATTTTTCTCCAGCTGGAGGTCGGGTCCAAACCACACTCCAAGAATGCAGACAGGACCGTCCGTCCAACCGAAGTCCAGGCACCTAACTGCAAGGCGGACGACTTGTTGCAGTTAATCTTGGCCCCTGTCACCTTCTCATACCGATCAAGCGCCTTCAGTACCGCCTCAATATTGCTGCAGGATGACATGAAAGCAGATACGTCATCAGCATACACAGAAACCCTGGCTCGAGCCCTGCAATTCCATGTAGGGCCGGACTGCACGCCCTGTCCCTCAGCGATGATTCGTCAGCATCATTCATGGTATTTTTTCCTTTTAAATTTGGCTTTTTGTTATAATTTCTTTTTTCTTTTTTAAACAAAACATAAAATGAACAAAACAGGTCAACAAAATAAAATAAAAACTTGGCTTGCCAAAAAGCATGTCACACGTCAAAAACAAACAAAACAAAAGAAAATGGGAAAAACAAACAAGTCAAACGCTCAAGAGTGGAGCCGAAAAATAAAAAAATAAAAAAGCAACTCTTTATGTTAAAAAAGTGGGACGAGGCAAAAAGAAAAAGGGGGACAAGAAATTATAACCTAAAACTTAAAAATAAAAACTTGACTGACCAAAAAGTAAGAGAAATCAAATTAGGAATAAAACGAAATGGGTAACAAACAAAAAGGGTTAAACTGAAAATGAAAAACGAAAAATAAAATAGAAGCTAACACTTAGCATGAAAAAGACACTCGTTGGACAAAACAATTATTTGCTGAAGGTCTACAAATCAACGACGTAAGTCCAAATTTACTTCACACGCTGCGCTCACCACGGTCCAAGCTGCACTGCCAGCCAATGTCCCAGACCATTTTTATTGGCCAAAAGCATGGCCAACACACCAATCATCATCGTTGGCCTCGTTCTCAATCAGAGTCCCCAGCTCGACCAATCAGCATGCAGACCGCCACTAGACAAATCGTGCCAAGCAGCATAAAATAAACAAATGTCGGAAAATGTACTTTTCTTGGACCAAACTTGTGAGAGGAAAGGATGTAGCTGACGAAATGACAAACTGTCTAGCTTGGTTTTATGCACACATCCATCATAAAACAGCAGCCCGACAAGCAAAACATCTTGGACGCTTCGAATCTGGCAAGTGCGAATATTTATCGTTACACATGTGCTGATTCTTTAAGTTTTCATATTTTCCAGTGATGTTCTCTGTCTATTATTCACAAAACATTGTGAATATAGCAACAAAAATGAGGACAACAGTCTGAATAATGTAAATAATTATAATAAATGATTACAATATTTCATCTCAGTAATATGGGCATGAATTCTTGTAAGTTCAAGAAAACAAATATCATCAGGTCCACAAAGACAAACTTTGATAATGAGTGAGCTTCTTTCAAAATTTTGCTGTAGGATTTTCTTTAGTTCAGAAGAACTTTCAAATATAGAAAGTTCATGGTTTGTTTTCTATTTTTATACAAGATGATGAAATGAGGGAGGGATGTAATGATGAAGGAGAAAGAAAAAATGTGAATTGAGTAAACTGAAAGATTATGCACCAGGAAATAACAACAAAGCCAAAAAAAAAAAAAAAAAAAAAAAAACACAATCAAGAGAAGAAAGAAATGGCAAAAGATGAATGTGATATAACCACAAGGAAAAATGAAAAGAGAAAATAAAAAAAAAAAACATTAAAAATGGGAAAAAAAGGAATAATAAAAAATGAGTCAAATGAATTGATAGGGTCATGAAACTGCAAATAGAAGCAAAATATGAAAAGAAAATGAAAAAAATGTGCCTAGTGAATTGAGAAGTTTGCTGATTTACAAGTGAAAGCAAAGCAAATAATAAAAATTAACAATGGAAAGAAAGAATGAAAAAAAATTTAGCTAAGTTATTTGATAGATTTGTAGACTGTCAAATGAAAGCAAGGCAGGAGAGAAAGAGAATGAAAGAAAAAAATTGAGCCATGTGAATTGATTGGTTTGTGAACCAGCAAATGAAAGTATAGAAAAAAAATATGATCAAAACTGGAAAGAAAAAAAATATGATCAAAACTGGAAAGAAAAAAATGAAAAATTTAGTCAAGTGAATGGAAAGGTTTGTGGACAAGCAAATGAAAACAAAGCCAAAAATATGATGACCAGAAAGAAAGAGAATGAAAACAAAAAGCAAAAAAAAGATTAAAACCTTATTTAAATGAACTAGCAAATAAAAGCAAAACAGAAAAAAGAAGGTGTATATGGTATCATCAAAGAAAGAAAAGAAAGAATTAATCAAGTGAATTGAATATTTAGTGAACCTGTGAATGAAAGCAAAGATAAAAAAATAATCAAACCCATACCACCAAGTTTTTATTCATTTGATATTTCAATGAATAACAAGATTTTCCCACCTTAACAACAAAAATATTACCACAATTCTTAAAATCAAAATTGATTGTTCAAAGAAAACTAATGAGAAAAAAAGGGGTGTAGGGAAAAAAAATTAAAAATTGCTTGACAGATATCAGTTCTGAGTGGGGAAAGTGGTTAGAATAAAAAGGGAAAAAACTTTAGTTTGATGCCACATTTTCTGGTTTATATACTGATCATGTCATACTAAAAGAAATTTTCTTAATTTTTAAATTATTTAAAATATTCCTTGTGTTAAGCAGAAGAAAGGAATTCCCTCCTGGTGTCATGATAGGCCAGAAAATTAACAGAGAGGTTGAAGCTGAAAACTTCTGAAAAACTTAAGGATTTGAGGGGATCCCAAAGGTACCAGAGAAGTAAGCAAAGATCTGAAGATACAAACTGCAAATGGTAACAGCTTCAGTCTCATATTGCATGTCTTATTCTGTAGACCAAGCACAGGGTCCAAAATCTACAAAAATAGATACCTGATAATTATGAGAGATGAATGTTTTCAGAGATATAGACATTTTATATTCTAAATATGTTCTGGTTTTACCATAAGTATTGTTTTTAATATATACACTTGCAAAAAATTGTAACCAACAATGGAATATGAACAATCTGAATTGAAGTGGTAAAGGTTGATTTTTGAATATTTTAAAATGTTTAAAAACATAAAATTTTCTCTTGACCATTTTTAAATCTACTTTTTTGATCAATTTAAAAATACACAGACCTCTGTTTAGAAAAATTAAAAATGCTTGCAATTTCTTGTTGACTGGCTTAAGTAACAAATGTTGGTAAATATCTTAATAGGCCAAAAATGTACATAGATGCAATAAGAATATTTATACATTCAAATTTTACAAAATTTTGACATTGTTTGAGAAAATAAAAATCCTTTTTAAACTTTCTCAATGCAACTCAGCAACAAAGCATGCCTTATACTCACATATGCAGAGCCTGTTTGGTGTTTGAGATAGTTGCATATTTCTTAGAACTAGTGATTGGAGTTCATGTCCATAAATTCATCTTCAAATCATATCCTACCTATTTGGAAAACTGAGTTTCATTTTCAGTGTTAGCAAACATTGAATTCTTTTCATGTGTTGCCTGTTGAAAATAAACTCTAAGTACTGACATTTGGTGATGGGTAGCAAAGAGGAGCCTAAATACTAGGTTGCAAATAGATAAACAATATTTAGGGACAGGTGTATGCCTTATTTAACATAACATAAGTATGAAAAACAGAAAATGGAATTTAACATGAATATTTTAGAAAAGGTATTATCACTCATTTTAGCTATAGTTTTTCTAATGATAACTATGATAACAGACAAGGAAGAAACAGTGATACTATACAATTCACACACACACACACACATAAAATGTCAGGTGAGAGGGCAGGAAACTGATATTTGAAAAAGAGATTTTGATGAATTGCAATAATCTACTGCACGAATATATCTTATATTTCCCAAATAAAACATCACCCAAGTTTCCTAAAATTCTCACATAAAGCATTTTCACTATTCCATGTAATTTTCATTTTTTAATCACATTTAGGCTGATATGTTCTTCAGACTGCCTCAGGTGTATGATTTATCATAAGACAAAATACACCTGCAGAAGGTGAAAGAAAGTATTGGTTGAAACAATGGTCCTACAAAAGACAATAATCTTTCTATTTTTATTTTTTATATATTTTGTTTGATTCAATAAAAAACAATTTCCCATTTAGATGGCATCAAAAATACAGAAATGAGACAATGACAAATGCAAGTGCCACAGAAAATCAATTTCTTTTGGATTTAAAATTTTTACTGTTTTGCTTGTTTTTTTTTTTTTTTTGACAAAGAATTTGGAAATCAAAATTCAAAGAGTAGCTGCTGTCTTGGTAGTAATGGTGGTGGGATTATAAAGAATATTCAAACAAGAAATGTTGATCAGAAATATAATCTTCAAATAAACAAATTAATTTAAAAAGAAAACACATAAGATCAAGTTTGGTGATTTTATTTGGTATAATTTTGAACATACCAGTTTGTAGTCTTGGAGACGTTTTATTGCTTTCCTGCGTTCTTCTTGGATGAATTCTTGCTTGGAATCAACTTCTTCCTTATGCTGTAGACGTTTCTAGAGAACAGATTGGAAAAAAAAAAAAACGGATAAATTTCTCTCATGAGGAAAAAGTCAGTTGAGAAGAAAAAAAGATTATTATTTACTATTAGAACAAATTTAAAAAAAACATTAGAAGACAAATACCATTTGTATAGAGTGATGCTGAAGATAGTGATTCTCAAGTTTGGATTTCTCTTCTTGCTTGATGTTGTGTTGTTTTTCAAGCGAAACCTGAAAAACAGAATTCATAAATGTTAAATTTGAATTTTTCTCAAATAAACTACTCTGTTGAGTTTTTTTTATTGTTTTATGATATTGAGAAAAGGATGCTGTTGATCACTTTTAAATCATGTTTTACTATGTGAATAATCTTTAATATTTTTACTGTTTGTTAAAAATAAAGTCTCAGCTTAAACAAGAAGTGAATGACTCAGAGTCATGAAACTTACATGCTCTTTCATATATTATCATATATTATCACTCTGCAGTTCAACACACTTGGCACATCATTTCTCAAGTTTCTTTAGCAATCCAAAAAATACAAGGTTTGGTCAGTTAAATATTATTCTGTTACTATCACCACTAAATTATTAAAAACCTTCCTCTTTTTCAAAGTTTGCCAAATAATCAAATAAAATCAAATCTTGTGAGTCAAGTCGATGGCCCATGTACTCAAATCTTTAAATCCTGAAATCAGTCATTGTTTTGCCAGCCCTGTCAAGAGATGCACTGTCCACAACTCCCCTATTTTTCTTTCAACACCTCCTTTAATTGTTACAGTAAGTTAGAATATTATTCTTTAACAGTTCCTTCTGAAGACATTAAGTCATCAGAACACTTATCTCAAAAAATGTCCATACTTGCTGAATTTTGGTCAGTGAATTTCTTCAGCCATGAAGAATCAGAATACCACTGTTGCATAGACTGTTGTTTGTTATTTGAAACATAAGTAGTGTAGTCATGTATCATCAACAGTGACAAATCATTCCAAAGAAAAAAAAATTCATACTTTTTGTTGAAAGTGGAATGACCTGAGAATTGGCACTTTACAATATAAATGAATATTTTTCATTCAGGAAGTGAGTCAGGATTAAAAATTTTCACCACCTGAAAATAACTATGAAAAACTAAACATAAAATATTCAACACATTAGTTTGTTACATTGAAATATTTACAAAGGAGAAAATGAAGGGGTGTACAGTATATTTTTTTAGCTCTGACATAGCTTTGCATCTTTCATTCATATTAAATAAAGTGAATATGTTTTTGTGGTATCATTCAACTGAAAAATAACTCTACTGATGTCAAAAGGAGATTATCAAGTATTTTTTTAATCCATTCTATACTTATTTAATTTAAAGTTCTTATTAGAAGTTAAGTTACAATGAACAAATTGATCTGAGAATAGAAAATAGTAAATTGTCAAGGATTCTTCCTGGTATCTCCAAAGGAAGGCAGTTAATGATGCTTGTCTCCTTTTCATATAACAGTATATAGTAACAGGGAAAAAACTCTAGCCACAACATCTCTGGAGCAAGGAGAATTATTTGGCAATGTCCATCTCTTCTTCACATAATAAGTTAGTTCCTGGTTTACATAGTACATGTCACAGACAAAAATCCCTGAACTGATTATAAATATATAAAACTATCAAAAAGAAAAGAAAGACCAAGCAATGTTTGGATTGGGTCACTCACTTTTTTATTTCGTAAATTGGCTTTTTTTTGGTGTATCTTATTGAGCCTGTCTTTGTACTGGATAAGTTTAGGGTCTGCCGAAGTAGAGAGCACTTCAGGTTCCTGATAATCTTGCATGCTCTCTGTATCTTCAAAGGCATCATAGAAAATTCCACCTTCCTCTTCATCTGGAAAAAAATTAAATAAAATCATTTGCTTGCATGGATTTTTAGTAGATATTTATCTTGAAAATACTACTGCCAACTTTCCATATAGTTACAAAAAAAAAAAATATTCAAAAAGTAATTATTGAACTATGTTATTAGTAGATCCACTTCTAACAGCAAATAAAATCAGTAAATATCAACATTTGTCAACGAGGACCCAGCTCAGTATAGCATAAAACCAAGTTAGTAAGGAAGGTCTTCCTTGAAAATCAGCATTTGAAATCTTAGCTTTTATAAGAAATCCACAACCAACTCAACCCTGAATTAAGCCGCTGATTGACAAATGTTACTACTTTTATAAAAAATTACAAATAAATATCAAGTCTTGTAGTTTACAAAAACACTTTCACTATTCTAAGAATTAATGTTATTTTGTACAATCAAATAAAGAATTCTGTTAAGAAATGTAAAATACAATATCCACATGAGGAAAGCAGTGATTTAACCAACACAACAACAAAGATGAGAATACTCATTCAAATGATAAAAAGAGGATAATACTTAAAAGATGTTCTGTGAAAGCACTATATTTTTAAACTGCCAGTACATGTGAAGAGCAATTGTTTTGTCTAATCAAATCATTTTTTGTGAATGAAAATCCTTTAAAATAAAAAAGTCAACAGGGTATCAAACATGTTAACAGCCAGGTGTAAAAATCAGTCCTAATTTGGTAGCCAGAAATATGTGGAAGGTGAAACCATTTAATTTAATGAGCAGTTTTTCATCTTACCTTGGGCTTTTTGCAAAATGACATCAATGTGAGTTTTAATAAGAGTTTCTTCCTCACTGAGAATCTTGACTAGAATGTCATAGATTTTCAGCGTCCAATTGAAAACTTTCTTTTCTAGCCATTCAAGTTCTTTTTTAGCATCAGGATGTTCTTTTACAGATGCAATCTGAAAACATTCAAGAAATGCAGAGCGGGTAAGTAGAGAAAGGTCTTTTTGAATTCATTGAAATCAAAAAAGAAAATTATGAAAAAATGTCATCTTCTTGAAATCACAAAAATTATTTAACAAAATCTGTGAGGTCATATGTTTATCACTTTGTTTTAATTTATAGTTAAGTTTCTAAAATAAATTCTGCAGTAAGTAAATATTCTGATCTTTGAACCTAATCACAGACTTCAGTCAAAAATAGTCCTTTCTAAGTTTATGGGTCATTTTGTTTTTGTTGAAAGAGGATATTTGAATAAAGATTTAGTTTTATGCATTTATATGAATTAAATAAATTCCAAACAAAACTAAGAATTGGAGTTTGTCGGAGTTAACTCCTCCTTTAGTACATTAACCCTTTCACCAGGGGTCGCTCTTCGCTGCTATAAATAGCCGCGGACCCTTCGCCTCTCTCTCTTTTTCCCCTCAGGCCTGTGCGCCGACACCTTGAGGTAAATCTCTCCTTTTCCTCAGGATTTCAGCTATCATCCTCGAAATGTAGGCGCTAACAAGGGATAGCGTGGAAACATGCTAAGCACAACACACGCACATACAGAATATTCACACACGCACGCACATACAGAATATTCCCATGCACTTCATCCTTTGTACTGTTTCCATGTATTGTAACTTGTTATTAATATATATTTGTATATACATATATTATCGGTCTTGTGTTTTGTTTGCTTTCTTTGCCTTCTTCTTTGGACTTAATCAAAGTCCAACCATTTTATGTAGTCGGGTCCAGCGAGCAGGAGAATCTGAACCTTACATGCGTTTCATCTGACTTCTACCAACAATATAACAGCCACGGCCTCTCTACAAATTACACAGATTGGAATTAATCTGCTTATGTTAAAAACTATTTACACAGCATTACATAACACAATAATGCAGGTAAACATTTGAACATTACTACTACACTAACCCATTAATGAATATTGTAATGTAAAATCTATTCTTGCCATTCAATAATAAAACTCAGTATCAAATTTAACCAGATATAAAAACAAGTTTTATTACATGAATGGAGGACAAAAGTATAAAAGTTGTCAACAAATGAAATTGATTTTGATATAAATTATCAGTTTTTGAAAAGAGTTGAAAGAAAAAATAAATCTATATACCTCTTTTTTTACTTTGTCTCTCTCTTGTAAATATTTTTTGCGTACATTGTGCAGAAGTTGTAAGCGTTCATTGCATAGATCAATGCGAATCCTGTAAAATATTGAGAAGACAAATTCATTGGTAGAGAAATGAGACAAATAAATAAATAGAAGCTAATGTCAGTCATTATTTTTAAGCCAGGTTTTAAGCATAATTCATTTTACGTTTTTTTTTTTTGTCATCTTTAATTTGGAATTTTTGGGAAACATTTTAATATGAGTTTTGTTTTTTTGTTATTATTTCTGAGTGGCAGTAATTTTCTACTTTTTTTTATTAATTGTCCATTTGAATATCAATTCTCACCTTCGCATTCTCTCTTTACCAAGAAGATCAAAAGCATTTTTCCCAAAAGATTTCTGGTCTTCTTTCATTCTGTCAAGCATAGCTGTAATAACAACAAAATATAAAACAAAAACTACTTCATGGTACAATAACTACCAAGCAAATTCAAGTCTCAAAATTTTAAGTAAATTATCAGTTTATTTAAAATAGAAAAGATTTCTAATTGCTGTAGAAATTTACAAAATTGAACCTTGACTAGAAGTGGGAAACTAATGAAAATTGAACTAATTTTTTTAGCTTATCAACCCTTTTATGGATTATTTAAGCTGAAACATATTTTGGATTGTAAGAAGAATTCTTTTTTGCAAGTGAATATCACATTAACAATTTTTTGAGAATAATGATTTTTCCAGATACACTATTTAACACATAGCTCGGGGAGGAGATTAATTCATACTTTTTTCCAAGGGTATTTGTGTATTTTTAGAAATGGTGACTGTGACTTTTCAAATAAACTCCATTCAGACAAGCAGTCAACTTAGATCTTTTATTGAAATAGAAAAAGTACCAAAGATTTAGTAAAACTGTTCAAGTTAATTAATAAAATTTAATTTTACTTATTTTCCTCCTTGAGAATGTGATTATTTATTGAAACACCAAGGACACAGGTAAAAATCATATCTTGTGAAAGTTAGAAAGGAAAATATAAACCCTTACCTACTTTTGATGTCTTTTTGATGCCTTGTTTAATATAAAGAATACGAAAATTATTAAATAAGATACTTGATAAGATATCACAAGTCACTTTTGATTCAGACTAGTTAATATTAGTGCTGTTTTGTACTAATTTCTTGAGAAATGGTATGAACCAAGGTGATCCATATGGATTGCCTTAGTATGAACCCAAATAATATTTATAAATGATTGTCTTCTGTTACGTACTTATTATGATTAACTGATATTTCTTAAAACTTCTTTTTGACGGATTCTTAATTTTTATTCAAAAAGTTTGTTGATCTTGAGACACTCAAATTTTACAATCAGAAGTTGAACTTTGAACTTCAAGAGTTTACTTTTTCAAAACTGCAATGTCCACAAATCCCCCCCCCCCCAAAAAAGAAAAAGAAGAAGTAAGATTTATAAGAAAAAGATGTCTGAATTTGTTCTCAGGTGTGAATAAGAAAAAAGGATGAAGACAGAATGCAACTAAAAACAAAGATCATTATCAGCTCATACATGCTTAAAATGTGGATATTTTTTATTGAATTGCTGATAAAGTAACTGGCTCTTAATTTAACTAAAAATTTATATGATAACAAAAAGTGCAAAGTCAGTTTAGATTAGAAGGATCATTTCATCATTTTTTCTTTATGACTTATAAATTTTAAAACTCAAATGATGACAAAATGACCTTCACAATAACTAATAAAAATTACTTACCTTGCAAGTAAGAGCATGTCATTTCATAATATTTGATATAAAGTTCCTGTAAATTATCAAGGGCCCTTTCATAATGACCCTGCCAATCTGTGAAAATTTTACGATTCTCTGCTTTTATACGCTCACCAACATCAGGGTCTTGAAGTTTCTTACGGGCTTCACGCAGTTTGGAAAAAGCTAATTCCCGCATATCCAGAAAAGGTTGCATCTGGAAGTTATAAAGACTTGCAAAACTTACATTAAGCTTAACCATTGCAATATCTTCCAAGTTGTAAGCATCCTCCCTGTCACACATTGTCACTGCATTCTTACGATAGAAGAGAATATTCTCAAATTGCTCTTCAGCTAGTTGGACGGATTCTTCATAGCTCCGTCGGTGGATCTCGGAGAAATTTTCAAAATAGTCCTCTGCTGTGAATTCTTCAAACAGGGTTGACATGAGCAACTTCTCATTGCAAATGTCAAGCATGTTTTGAAAATAGATTTCAAGTTGCTGGCAGATAGAATCAATATTTTCTGGTGTGGTCATTGGGCTAATAAATGTCCAGAGGCCACGTGGTTCCACGGGTAAATCAGGCAGATATGGCGAGAGAGACTCATGTACAAGACAAAGAAGCTCATGCACAGCTCGAATTTCACTGAAGGTGAACAGGCCCGTACGATTGCCACTCTCAGCCACATCACTCACAACTCGATTGTGCTGACGGCAGGTCACAGCAATTTTTTTTTCCAATTCATTCCAACCAACAATGAACAGGAGTTTGGGGGGTAAATTACTTTCACTGAAGGGGTCATGTTTGACAGCTACCCAATCTTCTAAACTGTCCAACTGATCTTCCATCATAGCCTAAGGCAAATTATGTTAACTCCACCTGGAAAGAGGAAAAATAAAGATTTTAATTAAAAAAAAAAAAAAAAAAAAAAAAAAAGAGAAAGTTATTTTTAATAAAATAAAGTAAAAAACTTAAATTAAAAAAAAAAGCACAACAGCAACTGTGTATCCTATATAACATAGGAACAATCTTTGTTTTTTTTTTACAACTTATTTTGGTTTTGTGGAGGTTGAAAGTTAGGTAATATGGCCATATATACCCACTCAGTGGAAGATAGCTCAGCATTATAAAAAGAAGTACTGATGGTTAAAATTTAATATGATGACAGGTAAATGAATGGAATACACATAAAATGGATCAATTAAAACTTTCTTTTTATCAGAAACTCAAAGGATATAGAGACTGAAATATGATAAGAACAAAGATGAAGAAATTGGACCAAAAGAATAGCAAAATGTAAACAAATTCTAGAGTTAGTAATTTTTAAGTTTTAACAACAGTGTATACAATATTATTATTATTATACACTAAATAGGTAGATTAAATATGTATTGACATTACCTTTACAGTTATTTCATAGCCTGCTTTGAATTAAAAAAAATAAATACCTTTGTTATTTTTATGACAGTTTTTTTTTTAAATGGTAATTTAAAATTTGCCATTCCTTTAAAAGGAAACATTCAGCATTTATTGACCAAACAGCATTAATGTTGGTTGACATTTATGAAAGTTTTTTTAAGAAAATAGGCTTCTCAAGTTTACTGTTATTTCTTTTTCTAGTATGGATGTGGATTTCATTTCTAACCTTTTGTTTAAGGTAGTGTGAAAAGCCAACATATTGATTATGTCATTTTTCTCTCTTCAAGTTACATGTGATATCCATTTTAGTTGCTGCTACTATTGTTGGAAGTCTGCAGGTGATGTGGTTTCTGTGATTTGAAAAATTTCTTTGTGATTCTTTGGATCCAGTCTATGAGATCTAATGAAGGACAGTTCAGAATTCATTCACTTGAATCTATTTTTAATCACCAATCTGAGAAAATTCTTGTAGATAGCTGATAACTTAAATATTTTGAATGAATTGGATGCTATGCATGATATCCATATGAGAGTCTCGATCTGACAAGGCAATTTAAAAACATGACTTGAGTTCTTAGATTAATGTTTTGGTTTTGTAGCATCTTGCAATGTTGGAAAAAACTTCCCCTAGCACAGCCTATCCTGTGTTCAATTTACTTATCTCTTATACTAAATTGGTTATAACGGAGTCATTCATTGTGGTATTTAAAGTGTTTAGAATTTATTTTCCACATTCTGGATTTTTATGATGGATTCAGGACAAGTGCCATCACTGCTTTCATTCCAATTCCATATCATAGTATTGGTTTTGGAAACATCTTATTTTGTGTCTTAATTCTTAGAACACTTGGTGAAAAACTGAAGTGTGCAAGGTTATGAAAATATTAAGGAAACCTCAGAAATTTAATTTCCTGCTAATCAACGCAGGTGAATAACCGATTATGCATTAAGTTCAAATTCATTTTTTTTTTATTTTGTCAAGAGGTATATCATTAAATTTTTATTTCAGATTGTTTTTCAGTAATTGTTTACTTTATGTTATTATTTTATCATGGAATTAAACCTGCCTTTTTACTGAAAATCAAAACAAATTCTATTTTCAAAAGAAACAAGAATAAGAAGATTGTGTTGCAAAAACTCCTGGCATTTGAGATTGATTCTGATAGGAATCAAGAAAATATCACAGTTATGAACAGGATTTAAGTTGCTATGACTTCTATTCACACTTCTCCCAATTCACTGAAATTAACAAACTAAATATTCCTGGTTGGTAAGAAAGAAAATAAATTTATCAATATGTACCAAGTTTTGCAATTGTCAGTACACAATCTGTATGTTGTGTATTGAAAATCAGAAAGAAAGAGATGATCAGTGGTCAAGAATTAAGGTAAACATTACTAACATAATAGAGATATTATTATATATATTATCATTACTTTGTGTTGATTATTCCATCCGTAAAAATATAAAAGAAAAAAATAATTGAATTCTTGATACACAACTCATAATTTTCCACATTTCCATTTCTGAGATGAGGTATTGTAACTATTTACATTGTTTGGACTATTGTCCACATATTTATTAACATATTTATGTTTTGGACATTGTACACTCCGGCCTTTTTCAGGTGATATTAGTTGAAATTTTGAACCAAAACCTTTATTTAGTTCATGGGTGGTAGATTGTTCTAATTCCATGTGCCCTGCTTTTGGATATCTGTTTCAGATAATTACCCTTGGTAATTCAACTCTTCAAGCTTTTGTTGACTCTGCTATGGCCAGGTATTGAACTCACAACTCTTTGGATCAAGTCACTTTTAAGATCACTCAACCAATGCTTTTATCCACTGGTCTTTGTGGACTAAATAAAGTGTCTGGTTTGAAATTTCAACTAATACCACTTGAAGTAGACTGAAACATCATGAATATGGCAATAAAGATGAGTACAACAGTAAATGTAAATAGTGTAAATAATTTAATTTGTGGAATAGATTCCAGTGTGGGTGCTTTCCTTATTGCCTTCATCTTGACCACTTCTAAATAATTATCTATCTTCCTTATCCACATAATATTCATTCCCTGCCATCTACTCTTTCATTCATATTGCACACCTCATTCATCATAACCATTTTAACAGTAATCCTCTATCTTGAGTGTCTCTTGGGACTTGTATTGAGGGGAGTTTAGTATATTAAAATAATCTGAAGGTCTTGAATTAAATTCCTTTATAACCTCCACTTCCTCTTCCCTTCTCCCTATCCACACTTAAAAGACATAAAATAATGAAAATTATTTCTGATTAAAAACTGGTAGAAAGATTTTAAATAATAAATTCTCATTTTTACCAACAATTTCCCACTTTTTATCAAACTATCATCTTTTCTCCCAAAATACAAGTTAGACATCAACATAAAAGTATATCATTAATTCTTGTTTGATAATGTTATAAATAAGTAGGGTTTGTTTTGTTTTTTCAAATCATTTTTATCAGTAACAAGTCACAAAAGATAATGCTTTTTATTAAATATGATATCAATTGTGAGCAAATTACCTCACAGGAAACTGATAGATCCTTGACAAAATAACACAAAGAGGAAAAAAAGAAAAAAAAAGCCTTTTTTTATGTTATTTCAATAATCTCCTAAGCACACTAATTACAAAACTGTACAAAATTAATTAACTGAGGAATGTTATTGTTAGTTTCAACTCTGACAGTGTCATAGCTGCCTTTGGCTGCTCCCTAAACAGGAATGAACAGGATACTTCAACCTTGACCTTTTTGATAGTTTTCCCTACACACTGTGTAATTTAGTCTCATTTCATTTTAGAATTGAGCTTATTACTTTTTAGTTCCTTTTGTGTTATGAACCTAGTCATAACACATCTCTTAAGCATTTTTAGACCTTCATTTTTTCGTAGCAAATCTCAACTTATTTTTTAGAGAGACTTTTAGTATTTTGTGAGACCTGTGGCTGTTGTTGGTCCCCCTTAATATTTTTCTCCTTGTGGTTGAAAACATATGGAGAGAGAAGGGATCACCGCCCTCTGTGGGATCAGGTTGCGATCATAGACAAAGAACATCATTGGAAAATTTGTAAACTTAAGAAATCAGCACATATGTTAGGCCACAAAAATCTCCTGAGCTGACCAAGCATATAAATGAATACAATATGGGAACCAGTAATAAGGAGTGCCAGAGAAAAGCAATAACAACAACAAAAATTGCAATAAGAGCTCTGGTAAATACATGAAATGATAACAAAAATTGCAATATGAGCACTGGTAAAAAGATGTGGGCTGAAGACATTAGGTTTATAATACCCAGAAATTCATACATAGATGTCCTCTAGGATAAAGGTGTTAGTTAGATTCGGTGACAGGACCCAATGAGTGTGAGTTCAATACCTGGTTAAGGCGGTGGAGAACTTGGTGAATAGGAGATAACTGATATCCATTAGACATGGCACGTGGAACTAGAACAGTCTACTCCAGTGAGTGAAATAAAGGGTTCAGTTCGACATTCCAATCACCTGAAGAAGGCTGGAGCGTACAATGGCCAAAACGTTGTGATAAATATGGCGACAAAGATGAGGAGAATAGTCTGAATAATGTAAATAATGTGATAATTCATTAATTAACTGAGTAAAAATTGAACAATAACTCATGCCATCATGAAGAACACAAGATTACAAGAACAAAGCACAAAGGCATTGTTATTTTAAGGTAATTGCTTGGATTTTCTTTTAAGTGAGATGAGAATAATTGTAGTTGACAGAGAGAGAAAGTTAATCAATGCAAACAATTTTAAGCCTAAAGAGAAATTCAGTTTTCTCTTAATATTTTTTAAATAAAGAACTAACCATTTAGTGACAGGACACAAAATTACTTAAAACTAACTGATACAAAAAATGAAAAACTTAATTTTTTCTTTTTTACATGATATGCGTTAATCCTTGTATATAGGTTAGTTTGACTAATTTTCTTTGTTGCATTTTCTCACATGCCATAAGATCCTTCTTAGGAAAGATGTTGATAACACAACAAGAAAAATAAATAAATTACATACACTATGTCAGATTTTATTATGCAAATCAATGTTTTCACAATAAAACAGGTATTTTTTAAATGATGTTAGTTAAAATTTCAGAATATATTTATATAAAGGTGAACTACAGCTTAAAACATCTGTTTTTATTAGGAATATTTACAGTAATTTATTTAGTGGTGACAGTTTTTACTATACAACTTCAAGGTTGTTCACTATATTGTAAATAAACATAATATTTATTATTGACTCACCAAAAAGTGTTCAATATTACCAAATTAATGACCCTCCCCTCCCAAGCTTCTTCAGATATTAATCAAATAGAAAACTTGTGGTCTACCATTAAAAGAGATGCATGTAAGAATAGAAAACAATTTTAAAGCAAAGATCTTTCAGAACCCATGTTCCCCATTCAT